AAGGCGTTTGGTGGGGGGAAGACCGTGGGTGGTGACTGAGGAGGTGGTGATGATAGGGGGGGGGATGTTATCCTCCATGGTGTCAAGGAAATCATATGCAGAGGGAGATGACTGAGGGGCGTAGGGGAAGCTGTTGGAACACGGGTTTACGCCTATGTCGTACTAAACCGTGTTCGTTTTATGACAGGTTTTGATAATGCCAAACCGCCGTGACAATAACAAGGTTAAAGTGAGCAAAACCAAGGAAAAGGAACATGGCATGATGATTTGAGAACCAAGAACCAAGAATCAAGAACGAAGACTTAGAATTGTATTGAGTCGGTCTTAATGTGATCAAGACCGGCACAAACTTTCAAAACTTGGCTCTCTAGGCTCTTTTCATCAAAATACTTTTTGCATACTCAAAAATGTCTTTCATAAGTTTTAAACCAGCCTAAAACACTTGGTGTTTGCCCAAACCAAAAAACCAAGCCATCCGGCGTTCGGTTTTCGGAAACCGGCGTTCGGCATTCGGTTATCGGCGTTGATTTTTGGCGTCCGAACCAACCAAGTGGTTTTCAACATTTTATGATTGGTTTTTACTTCTTGGCATATTTAAATAGTTCTCCAACAAAAACGCTTCAAAAACCACCTTTCGTTTTTGGTCGTTTAGTGAAAACCATGCGAAAACGGCGTAAACTTAGCTAGGCGTGGTTTTCAAGATGTTTTACTTGATTTCTTAGAAAAATGCATTAAACAAATGTTTTCAATACTTGGTTTTTATTTTGGAGAACTTACATTTTTGACGTCGGCTAACGGCATGACTAAACCAACCATGGGTCTGGCTGAACCAGACCAACAGCGATGTTGGTGTAACCAACAGCGCTGTCTGGCATGGGAAGCTGAAAACCATGGTTTGGCGTTAAGTCTTCCAACAGCGATGTTGGATGTTAGACATCGCTGTTGAGCCAAGGTTGGGTTTCCAGAAACATCTGGAACAGCGATGTAGCCTTCCCTACATCGCTGTCCAACCTAAGCCAAAAAATAATTGCATTGGCAGAAAGTTCTTAGACAGCGCTGTTGTCCCAGGAACAACGATGTCAGGCCAAACTTTCCACCTTCAAAGTCAGGCCTAAACAGCGATGTTCAAGTTGTGAACATCGATGTAGGCACCTGACCGTTGGGGGAATTTATGGCTAAAAATTTCCTTGTTTGGAAGTCAACAGCCAAAACAGCGATGTAGGGGTATTGGACATCGCTGTTGGCATGACCGTTGCTTCAAAAGTTTCAAAAACCAAGCCTAGAACAGCGATGTCCAAGCCATGGACAGCGCTGTCTAGAGGATTTTCAGCAAATCCAACTTTAATCA